ATGCTTCTGAGCGTCCACAGCGCACTCGTCGTCGTCCTGCTCGATACGACGATTGACTTTGACTTACCTTCCCACGTCCTTGACTTCTCAGTACTCCATCCAAATGAGTTTTGCTACTTCAGCTCGTCGACACTACGGCTCTTCCTCGACGACATTCCGGACTTCTCGTCGTGGACGTCATTGGCAGCTTCATGGACTTCATCACGATCAGATCTGCCTACTTCAGACGTCGCCACTCTCTTACCACTCTACCCTGTACAGTACCCTGCTTGTGTCGCATGATGGTCTCCCTTTAGCCGGGTTCCTCTGAGTTGGGCTCTCCCTTGGTATACGCATAGGCATCGGGATGGTCTCCCTTTAGCCGGGTTCCTCTGAGTTGGGCTCTCCCTTGGTATACGCATAGGCATCGGGACCGTAGCGTTGCCCTAGGTTCCCATCTTACGAATCTAGCTCCGACCTCCCTCACTTTAGGAGTCATTTGCATGATTCCCTTACCCATCATTTTTCTACCCTTCGTCGGCCCTCATGCCCTAGTTAAGCAGCCCCGCATGCTTTATCTAGGTGCGCCCAATATACCAGACTCCCTTGTTCCCTTGCATGGTCGACCCTCCATAGCGGTCACCCCTTAGTCTAGCATTACCCGCCCTGATGGTCTATCTGTTAGGGTCATTTGTTTTGTTCGCTCCCAGTTCCCTACCCTCATTGAGCCTGATGACATGTGTTTTCCCCTGTCACTATGTGTGGATTCCCTTAGGAGTTTTCGACCCCTAGGCTGCATTCGCCACCCTCAGAGACCATCCCACCCTTTGGTTTGCAACACACTTCTCATGTGACATATGGTTGTCTTGTTGATTGCTTTGTTGCTCTCAGACTGAGGCTACTGCCTCCGACATTTCTAGGATTTAGCTGTTTTGCTTTTGCTGTTCTTAGGACTTATACACTAGTCAGTTGTTACCAGACTGAGGCTAGTGCCTCCAACATTCTAGGATCTAGTTGTCGCTACTTTTGCTTTCCTGGGACATGTATGCTAGTCAGTTGCTTTTGCTTTCCTAGGACATGTATGTTAGTTAGTTGCTTCTGCTTTCACTTAGGCTGTTAGCTGTGACATTGCTGTTTTGTGACATTTTATATCCTAGGTTGCATCGCRTGGACTCARCATGGAGCTTGCTCCGCATCCTAGACTACTCAGGTTTTMTTTTCTTTGGTAGAGTTCCGCTTCTTGGCGGAAGCATGTTTGTATCTAGGCGATCCATCACAGTCCGAGGATCGTGTAGCGGACCTCGGGTTGGCATGTGAGACCAGCCCCTTGGCCTGTTCTCACAGGCCTATGTTGTATTCGGGGTAGGCCAGTCCAGGCCGGTACCTCTGTCGGTACCAGCCAGTCCAGTCCAGTCCCGTCAGTCCGCTGGGGTATACCCCAGCCATTGTATGTTTTCAGTCTCATTCTTCACTTGCACATTTTGGAGTACGTGCGTTGGAGTCTTGCGTGGGGAGCTGCGTTGTGCCATCTCGCTCCCCCCCTCTTCCTCCATCTCCATCTCTACCAGTAGCGGAGCACCACACCTGGTGGGTCCGCTACATTGAGCGACTTGGGCGAGGTGGTCTGCAGAGTGCCCGGAGACGAAGTGGGCTGAAGGAGATAGTTAGCAATAGCCATAGAGGGACAGCGGCCATAGCCGCCATAGCTGAGGCGAGTGTGTGAGTGCGAGGGTTTATGTATGCGTGTGGGATATCCAGGGTGATCCAGGGTTGAGTGAGTGTGAACAGAGGTGTTGAAGAGAGTTGCAGTGTACAGGCGCCGATGCCCCATAGCCTGTTGAAGCGAGCTTGTATCTGAACTGAGTTTTTGACTTTCGTATCTCTGAGCTTTGAGTGGGTGTTGTGCGCCAGTGTGTCTCATTATCCCTTTGCATGAGTGCGGAGTGGAAAAGAAAGCGAGTCTGATTGCAATACTAGCGTAGTGGGACTTGGCCCATCCGAGATTGTTCGCCTTTTTTTGCCCTAGTTGTCCGTGATTTTTTTTGGATTTTTTTTTAACTTTTATTTTTTTTTTCAAAAAGCCCAGGGTGTTTTAGAGGCCAAGGACCAAACCCGCAGTGATTGCTGGTAGCAGCAGCCAATGGTTGTCCTGACAGGATAGGCCACCTACCCTATCCATCCCCACGTTAACAGGTTTTGGAGTAAAAAGTGGGATCCTGAAGTGTGCCTGCTTTTTTTTTTTTTTTCCGCTTTTTCTATTCCCCCCTTCCTTCCCGGATGATTCCGTTGTGCTGCAGTGTGGAGAAAACTACACGTTTCGTTAACACTGGGCTGTGCGCCTATGGTCCTTGCTCGGGTGGTAACTGGAACTATGCTCAGTGCAGTCGGAACTTCTATACCTTAGGAAGCCGTGTCTGCAGGAGAAACCCGCACGAGCCAGTTTACGGTGAGTGCGTCAGAATTGAAATCACTCAGGCGACATACACCGATGACACCAATTGGAAGGGGATGGACTCTATCATCATCGGGACAAGCCCATGAACATGATAATGATAAGATATGCGAGCTCAGGGCGTTTCTTCCAAGTCTCACAAGTCACACTGGAGAAGTCTCATAAGTCACGTCGGTGAAGTCTCACAAGTCACATCGGTGAAGTCTCATAAGTCACGTCGGTGAAGTCTCATAAGTCACTTTGGCTTCTCACTCAAGCAAGGTTTTTTTTTTTGAAAGTCAAGATCACTTCCTTGCACTGAGTGAGAGGCGGGGAAAAGATTATGACTGCGAAAATAGTCATCCATCCACCACTCATTCAGTGTATACCAGGAGAAGGGGAGGAGAGGGAGATCCTCCTCTTCTCTTAATGTTTTCGTCCTTGGCCTGCTTTGCTTCTTCTTTGCCCGCTCGTAGAACACCGTGCATGACATGCAGATGCTGGGAAGACGTTAATGAAATAGGTATGGAGGAGCAGAAGATAGACGGGGAGGAGGGGGAGGAGGGGGAGACGATGGTGAGGAGGGGGAGGAGGAACGCAGAGGAGGAGGAGGAGGAGGAGGAAAAGGGGAACAAGACGGTGGTGTGGGACCGAGAAGCACCTCCTCTCCTCCTCCTCCTCGTCCTCCTCCCCCTGCCCTTTTGCAGTAGCTTGATGTCCCCTGGGATGCAGTCATCTCTCTTTTTGTTTTCCATTCTTGATGAAACCCATCGTCGTCAGGTAAAATAAAAATAAAAAGAAAAAACTGACTGTCAGTCACATTTTTTGTTCGAAATGGGCAGAAAAGCAGGTATCGGAGGGTTGGCCAGGGGCGGAGTCCAGACTCGGCAAAAAGGCAAAAACAGGGGCCATTCCTTTTTGCCGTTTGTTTCCATTCAGCCCCTCTGCACAGCACGGACTGCCTTTGTCATTATGGGATGCGCGCTTGTGACAAACTGCCGCGTGAAGTTAGCAGTCTTTTTTACTCCGGCCATTGAGGGACCTGTCCGAACTTGTTTTTTTTTGCGTATTCCAGCTTCGTCATAGTGGGGCTCGAATGCGTAAGGGCACACTACAAGTTTCTTGACTGCTGAATTTGGTCACCAATTTCTGGTCAGATACCTCCTGGGTCAACGTTGCCCTTCCTGCCAATTGCTCTTCAAGTCTAATTATAGTCTTTATTCATAGCTCTCATCGGATGGGTTGAACGAGTATCAAGCCTATTCGCTGTAACATGCATTTTTGTATTCGCCTTAACTAAATGGCCCTCGTGCGAATTGGAATTGGCCTTCGACTCGGTTCCGACTTCTCCTGCTTCCTAGGTTTCTCATATCACCTCGCGC